CACCTGCCATTAGTAACAGATGCCAAATGCCAACCACCAAATCCAAAATGCTGAACACTGTCTACAAAAAAGTTGGAGACCATAACAATATGTTACTACTTGTGGTGGTAACATAATTAACTAAATTCACCAAAGTATTCACATTACAGTTGTATGTTATTCTTCAATGATGATATACTGAACAGCACAAAAAAGTGTTAAAAGGAAAACATCCTAATACTACAAAATGGCATCACTTGGTTGCAATTCATTATAAAGTGTAACGATTGTTACAGAATGCTATTTGCCAATAACATTCTGAATACTGGTCACAAAAAGTAGCGGCTATACGAATAGTCATCATGCACTTCAGTGGTGACATTAAACTGATTAGATGCTATAGTTGATTAAAGGTGACAATCAATGGATTTGTATATTAATATGGTTGAACCTCACATGCACATGTGAATATCTGAAAAGTACTTGATTTATATAAACAGCAGAACAAATTGCAAATAGGGGATTTATACAAAAATGTGATTACACTCTAGGCAGGAGGAAAGTGCTCGAATGTCACTTTACCCTATATGAACTGAACCAGTCAAAAGGAGTGGTGTTGACAAAAAAAGACTAGAATATCATTTATCATATCTCATTTCTACATCCTTTCCCTCAAGACAACCACTCCTCTGTCTTTTTAATAATTTCCCACAATTAGACACAAAATGTACACTTCTACACATGGTTTGGGCATGGATTTCTATGATTTTAACTGTATTCGAAACAACATGGTAAACATGATTATGGATCTGATTCCTCTACAATACAGATCACTTAAAAGAATAAGTTATATGGTCATTTTTATTTGCAATTTTACCTTTATCATAATCTTTGTATGTTTATTATCATTCATATCATGATACAATTTTTCTGCAATAAGAACATTAATTTTGCATAAGACATCAGACAGTATACATTCTTTAGAATATGATATCTTCTAGCCAGTAATTAAGTAAAGATAACATTACAAATGTGAGTGACGTGTTACTACTGTTTGGTTTGAACTTCATGTCTGCAGTAATTTTTTTATGAATTTGGGCGATTCACTTGGTGTAAGGTAAATCAAGACAATGAAAACACCTCAAGGTATTTGCTCTTAGAAACAATAAAACCTGTATATCTGAACATCTCTTATTTGTGAACACATGAACATTTTTATAGTCCCAATTTATTTGTGAACACATGAACATTTTTATAGTCCCAATTTATTTGTGAACACATGGACATTTTTATAGTCCCAATTTATTTGTGAACACATAAATATTTTTATAGTCCCAATTTATTTGTGAACACATGAACATTTTCATAGTCCCAATTTATTTGTGAACACATGAACATTTTTATAGACCCAATTTGATATGAATACACTGTGAACTGAACTTGAATAGCTTGATAGGAACACATTTTTTAAGTCTCCAGCAGTCATCACTTAAGACAAATTTTACTTTACGATCAATGTAAACATTAAATTATCATTTATCTCGCATTCAAATTAATCTTTTTTGATAAAGGGTTCATTTTTAGCAATAATGTAAACACAGACTGGATGAATGAAATATAACTCTTATCTAAACCTATAAGTAAAATTCATTGTGACCATATTTTTAAACATTGTTAGAAAAGATTGAAACAATAAGTAAGTGATTGAGTTATTTAATTTGAAAGGATACTACATTCATACTCTAAATCTTAAAGAAATTAAAGAAAATTAAATGTTTCTTAGTCTAAAAAAATTAGAATGAAAAATCATGGAGTTCTTCACATTGGTACTTATCATACCTTCAATAATGGATCAAGCTGTCACCAGGGCATGTTGATCCTCTAAATCACACGCTAGATGTCAACTCATACTATTATTTTGTACTTTATGAGAGATTTATTTAAAACTTATAATACCAATATATGTATTATGTTTATGTCCTTGATTTTTAGACTTTGATTTTGCATCCAGAAAATCATCTATGTACATATCTATTCATGCTGTTAAGTACAAGTGAGATAATGCATACTACTGATATTTTTATATTTTAGGACATAATCCAAAAATTGTAGACGACTTCCCCAGTTAGGACAAGTTAAGGGAATAATTCAGAATAGGTTTTAAACTTTTTCCGTATTGTTGTCCTATAATAAATTATTTACGGCAAAAATTTACGGAAAAGTTCAGATTCGGACTCCTGGATCCTTCAAGGTTTTTTACTATATTTTGCATAAAATGCATTCAAAGACCATTTATGACAGAATGTATTCATTCATAGACCATAAATAATAGAATGAATTCAATGCATCAATTCAAAGACCATTAATGACAGAATGTATTCAATGAATTCATTCAAAGACCATAAATGACAGAATGAATTCAATGTATTCATTCAAAGTATAAGTTTTGTAGAGAACATTACTAACCTTGTATTGGCAAATGGAACTAATGGCTTCCGGCTACCAGATTAACCTACTATTTTATGACCAACTCATTTAAATATGAATAGTACCTGCCACTTTTCCATTCATATTTTAATGAGTGTGCCATAAAAAAGTAGGTTAATCCAGTAGCTGATAGCCGAAAGTTGAATTCATGAATACAAGCTTAGTTTTGCATCTTGTCTCTGAACCCAGTCTCTCTCACTTTCCCTGACTCCAAGCCTAAAATATAGCACTAATTTAGATGAAAAGTGAATCAAAACTTTCTATCAAAACTTTCAAAACCTCCTCAATCTACGATAAAATGGTTGAGTCTAGAATAACTGAACTGATACTGCTGAGTCAGCAATTCTTATAACACTTCTCTGTTCGTGAACAGATTTATAGTCCATTCTACTTAATACAACATGGCTACCATTATGAGGCAGATTATATTCTTTTCCACTGGTGAACATATCAGATATGAACTGTTAAGTGAAATAACAAAGTCACTCACAAAAGCCATAATAGATATGAAAGCTAATCTATATATGTGGAATCCATTTTGCTGTGTTAATAACTGAAGCAGGTGTACCAAGATCAAACGGAAATGAAAACATTGTTGTTTTCAATTTTACTGAAATTAAAGATATTTCAGTACTGATAATAAACTTCACCCCCATCATGCCACAAATAATCATCTTGGATTACTGATGTACTGAAAAGACATTTCTATTAATAATAATGATACTAGAGTCCACGTTTGACAAGCAATTCAGAATCCAATTGCATATTCACAGGATAATATATACTTGATATAATATAAATCAATTGCTTGTAATTCTACCCTATAAAGTGGGGGACCCATGTTCCCATGTTGTAGTCTCCTTTCCCTCTTTGATAGCCATGTACAGGGTGTTTAAAATAAAAAGCAACCCAAAGAAATCGCTATATGTTGGAAAATACTAATCCAATTGTGTTCATATTTTCAGGAAAGAAAGAAGAAACTGTGTATGTATAGCTCGTGTTGTTAGTTAGTTGTAAAACATGATGTCTTGTACACCTGCTCAAAAGACAGTTGTAATAGGCTCTTCAATCATGTTTTACAACTAATCATCTACAGGAGCTATATATACACAGTCTCATCTTTCTTTCCTGAAAAAATGAACATAATTTAACAAGTATTTTACAAGATATAGCGATTTCTTTGGGTTGCGTTTTTTTGAACACCCTGTAATTTGGTAACTTGGAGTCATGCACTAGATTGTGTATAAAACCCTAAGCACAAACTTTGATCAGCTCACAAAGGAACAAGTGCCCATGTCAGCTAAATGGAGATATATTGCATGATGTGCTGACTAGAATTAGAGAATAAATCACCCTAATGATGTCGATTAAGATATCTCCATGCATAGAACAATCCACTTGGGCCCTCCTTATCATAACATACAACCAACAGATAATGTAGTCTAGCATAACATTGAGTAAACCATAAAGCACACTCTGATCTGTGGTGCATGCCAAAATACCCCCCCCCCCCTCTCTGATCAGTATGGTTAAAGTAGTTCTTATCCTCTATCCCTGTGAGTTTCCAGTATGTCGCAGCCCTGAGTTTAACTGATTCCTTGCTTCTATTGGTACAAAGGTCAGTATTCATACACTGACTTTACATCCATCACTAGCCCACAAGCTGCTGGTACACACGTGATAATACCTCAAAGTCATCATTCTCTTTTCTTTCTCATGATCTTTAGAATGTAAATGAATTATGGGTTCATTGCGTCCTGCTTCATTATTTCAGAAAAGTAGAATATACAGTAGACAAAAATATGTGACCATGAATATCCCACATAGGCACATTTTACTAAATGGTTTCTTCAAGTCCATGATGCAAAGTACATAACAGCTGAGAGTATGTCTACCTTTGAGATTACATGGCCAAGATGACCCATAAAGCTTGGGATATTAGACGGTATTAGACCCATCAGTCCCTGCCAACTCAGGTACGAGGCATATTCAACATTAATGATGTGAAAATGATATACTTGATTATTTTAACAGAACACTGTACTATCAAAAATATGTTGTTCACAAGTTAACTTGATCCAACGTCAAAGGCAGCCTGACCACATTTGTTTTTTCGAGCCCCCACAATCAATCAACATAAACATGAATCAATACACACACCCACATTATATTGATTGGTCGGTCTGGCCTACAGGCTTTTACCAATGAAAATTCATTTTAATTACAGTACACACATTATTCTGTCTTTTTTAAATAGAATACAGCTTAAAAATGAAGCATAAAATACGCCATCTGTGAGTGACACATAAGTGTTTACTACGTCATGTATACGTATAGTTAACTCTCTAGTGATATATATGTTTTACAAAGGATAGCCCCGGCAGGAATATAAAATCTATAGCGTTTAAATGTGTTCAATGAATGCATTGTGTATAGTGTTTCAATGAGAAAATCATACTTACCTATCTGCTGACCCCATTGACTTGACCTTGACCTCAAGTGCTGACCTTTGACTTATGTAAATATTGACCTACCCTGAACGGTCCGTTTGAAGAAAGCTTTACAAGCCTCACATGATGCTACACCATAATGGTACCCTGAGGCAATGTCTCCACAGACTAAACAGATTCTCTTGGGTAATATATCTGAACTGTCTTGGTCTGATGGGATTGTGCTTGTACAAAAGTCCACTGATATACCATTCACCGGGGAAGGAGTTGTTGAACTAAGATCTCCATTTTCATATTGATATGTCCGTTCTGGACTGAATTCATCTTCGCTGGTGGTTAAATCACTGAGCACTCCCCCACTGTTTCCATTCATCATTAAGTTGCCACAATTGGTGAGCAGTGCGGGACTGGAGGGTTCTAATTTGATGGGAGGACTATCAAAGACAACGTCCATGCTATGGCGATCTTCTGGCGTCACTTCCAGAGAGAACGCTGCAAATACAAAAATATGTAAGTATGTAATACTGTTATATCAAAAGTCTCATTCAACCCATATACTTGATATGCAGTCACCATCTGACTATCTGAAACATTTACTCTCTATATATCAATATCAAAATGAACACAGTGACACAATATAAATATGCACCAGAGATCATTATAGTTCTCGGTATACTGTTTAGAGGTGTCATGGAGCAAAGTATCTTCTGAATGGTTTGGTACAAAACATTGGAATGGAACAATCCTTGGTTCACTTCTGGTTCAGTTCCAAAACATGAAAAAAATCTGTAAATTTACTATTTGTGGTTATCCTCTTTCTTCAAGAGACCAAAAACTGATTTAGCTGTTTACAACATTTTTGTAATCGAAGGCATTTTTGGGGTCTACATAGATAAAAATAGACTCCAAGATATTTCAAGGAATATAAGACTTTCAAGAATAGTCTGGAATATCTAATTTTCAGAATGGTTATGAACAAAATCGGGTATCTGAAACATCTCTAATACTGTACAATGTCCCAATAAACCCCATGCGCCTATAATCTGTTTAATCATACCTATGTGTCAAAATGTTCTACCAGAATTCCTTGTTCTGTAATTGCAAACTATTATCCCATTGTAAACATAAGCTCAAAAACTACACATGCTACTTTAAAGTATCTCTCCCACTATATTTTATCATTCAGTTTTTATTATGTTATATTGGAAGGTTCTTGTTGAACATACCCTTAGACACCTGGAGATATCCGAGACATATTTAAGGGTCTATTCTCATAACAAACCCCAGAGGCTATTCTCTAACATACCCCATGGTCTAGGATCTGTTATCTAAACATATCTCAAGTCCTATTTTCTAACAAGCCTATGATCTATTCTCATACATATTCTAAGGTCTATTATCTAACAAAGTCAAGAGTCTATTCTCTAGCATACCCATAGATATATACATAGTGTTTGTTATCTAACATATTCCAAGTCTTATTTTCTAACAAGTCTAGTATATATTCTCTGACATATTCCAGGGTATATTATCTAAAACACCAAGAGTCTATTCTCTAACATGCCCATGGTCTAGTATTTGTTATCTAACATATTCCAAGTCTTATTTTCTCACAACCTTAGTTTCTATTCTCTGGCATATTCCAAGGTCTATTATCTAAAAAGCTAAAGTCTATTCTCTTACATACTCCATGGTCTAGTGTTTTTTATCTAACATATTCCAAGTCTTTTTGCTCACAACCTTAGTATCTATTCTCTGGCATATTCCAGGGTCTATCATCTAAAATACCAAGAATCTATTCTCTAACATACCCCATGGTTTAGTGTTTGTTATCTAACATATTCCAAGTCTTATTTTCTAACAAGCCTAGTATATATTCTCTGACGTATTCCAGGGTCTATTATCTTAAACACCAAGGGTCTATTCTCTAACATACCCCTTGGTCTCGTGTTTGTTATCTAAACATATCTCAAGTCTTATTTTCTAACAACCCTAGGATCTATTCTCATACATATTCTAAGGTATATTTGCTAACAGAGTCAAGAGTCTATTCTCTAACGTATCCCTTGGTCTCGTGTTAGCTAACATATTCAAAGTCTTATTTTCTAACAAGCCTTATATATTCTCGGACATATTCCAGGGTTTATTATCTAAAGCACCAAGAGTCTATTCTCTAACATATCCCATTGTGTATTCACTAAATACCCTAAGATCTATTATGTACTCCAGGTGTACTATCTAGCATATTCTAGATCTATTCTTTGACATATCCTCGGGCCCATTCTCTACCATACTCTATTCTCCAACATGTCTAAGGGTCTACACTCTCACATACACCAGGGTCTATTATTGAATGTACCCCAGGGTCTATTCTCTAAAATACCCTATCATCTACTCTAACATTCTCGAGAGTCTTTTTTCTAACTACTCCATGGTCTATTTTCTAGCATATACCCCAGGGTCTATTCTGTAGCATACCAAAGGTCTATTCTCTAACATATGATATCCCAAGGTCTGTTCTCTATCATAATCTAGGTTCTTTTCTCTAATGCATCCCATTGTCTATTCTCTAACACACCCAACAATCTATTCTATATCATAAACCAGGGTCTATTCTCTAACATACCCCAGGGTTTATTCTCTAGTATCCCAAAGTCTATTCTCTATCATAAATCAGGCTCTATTCTCTGACATACCAAAGGCCTATTCTCTAACATATGATATCCCAGGGTCTATTCTCTATCATAAATCAGGTTCTATTCTCTTACGTACCAAAGGCCTATTCTCTAACACACCCAACAATCTATTCAGTATATCATAAACCAGGGTCTATTCTCTATCATAAATCAGGCTCTATTCTCTGACATACCAAAGGCCTATTCTCTAACATATGATATCCCAGGGTCTATTCTCTATCATAAATCAGGTTCTATTCTCTTACGTACAAAAGGCCTATTCTCTAACATATGATATCCCAAGGTCTATTCTCTATCATAAATCAGGCTCTATTCTCTGATATACCAAAGGTCTATTCTCTAAAATATCATATCTCAAGGTCTATTCTCTATCATAAACCAGGTTTTATTCTCTAACATACCAACAATCTTTTCTATACCATACCAAAGGTCTATTGTCTAACATTAGGGTCTGACATATCCCAAATCAATTTCCTGAGTCTATACTCTAACATATTATACAGAGATATCCCCAAGGGTCTACTTCATCAAGTACTCTGTTGTATCCATATTCCTAAAGCAATAAACCACACTTATAATCTTATAACATTGTATCATCCTCACATGAAAGAAGAGTGCTGACTGATCATGAATCTTTGTAATGATTTAAGGTCAGGGTGCATGTTCCGAGGGTCACATGTTATGTTTCAAATTTGAATCACTCCTTCCCCACAATCTAAATCTCTCACTTTTGCACACCGAGGGCACTAATGTACCTAGAAGAGAATGAGAAGAATGTTTTGATAAAACATATAAAAAACAAGAAAATTCAGTGAAAAAATTCAGAAAATTTCAGCAAATATTTTCACTGAACTTTCTCGTTTTTATACGTTTTACAAAACAAATCTTCTCACCAGTCTTTTTTAGGCACACAAGTGCACTATTTGTGCAAAACTGGAAGATGTAGACAATGTGGAGAAGGAGTGATTCCTATTTGAAAAATAATGTGTGACTCAATTGAGGAATGAAGTAAAATTCCGAACATGAAGTTAACATACAGTACATCCTATAGTCTCTAAACTGCTACTCCAGAGATATCACATTCAATAGCTATATTATGCAGGGTTTCAGTATGTATAATATATAGCTCATCATCTCCAGCAACACTACCATTTTAATGGTTTTGTATAGTATTCCCTTTATATACTCCCTCATTGGTACAGCGTTCCTCCTATTCTATAGTAAGCAGCCTAAACTAATATGTGTGATCCAGTATTATATAGATACAAAGAAGAATACAACATACTACACATAATGTCTTTTGAGTATTTCCGTCTTGTCCGAGACATCAAAGCTAGATGTAACCAGCACTAGATGTGTCTATATCTGCATTCCTCTAGTTGTTACAGGCTACCATGAATGATACTAGTACAGTATCTGTAATGAACAGGCTAAACCGACATGTGTTTTGCTATAAACTACATAAGTGTAAAGAAGATTAACGTACTACACATGATATCTTTTGAATACTTCCGCCTGGTTCGAGACATCTGAATTCTGTAACTGACACCAAATGCTTCAATATTTCAGAAGAATTGAGCTATATTGTTCACTTCAACATCATCCATTCTGGGCAATACAATAGAACAATTGCAAACTGAGACCAATAAAGTATATTTATTGCACGTAGCACAGTGGCACACGCCGAGACTGCATATTATTAACTACTGGCGCTAGTGGCCATAAAAAAAGTACTATCAAAACAAAATTTTGTTTTTCCAGTTCCTGATCATACGATCACATAATAAAAGTGTCCCAAGTCACATCTTCCACATTCACTGTCCTTGAATCTCATGGTCCTTGATCTTGAAGTAAAAACTTAACTTGACACTTTATGAAGAACAAGATTTTCTATTTCTAGTTCCTGATCACATATTTTAAGTGTTCAAATCACATTTTTTGATAAACAATCATATACATGTAAATAGAAACAGAATTGCTGATATTAGAATAAAAGTCATAATGAAATCATATACATGTATTCATACTACCCTACCTCGATCGTGCATATGCACGATTTTTGACTTTCACTAGGAGGGTAGGGTAGTGTGATATTATACTAATCCAAATTACAAAACATTTTCTGATTACATGTTTATGTTGAAATACTGATCATTAAGATAGAAGAACAGCTGCAACTGTGCAAACTTAATTATATCCAGTTGTTTGCTTACATATACTTTTTCATTTAGTCTTAAATAAAATTGGAACTGTAAACAAGTATCTTATTCAATGGCTTCAATACATGATTTATCTAGTTGGTATATGTAACTAGTTTATTGAAATCATCCAATTCATATCCATATATTACAGAGAACAAGGAATTCACCTATGTATTGCTTAGAATTTATTTTCTAATAGAAAAATATAATTTATTGATATTTGTCATTAATAAAGAATAAGATTTTAATCAACGCTTTCGCAATAAACGGATACTATGATGAAATGATACAAGTGCATATTGGAAATATACGAGGGTCGTTCAATCAATACTGATACAAATCCTCTCATTTTCACATTTAAAAATTAATAAATTCCTGATATTTTCACATTGATTCCTCATGAATGTTATCAACTTTACATCTGCAGATAAAGCATGAGACAAAGGCATGTAACAAGATAGCAAGATTTCAAGTGCATATACATATATATACATGTACAACAATAACATGTGTTTTCAAAACATGCGCTTTCTTCCCAACTCTAAAATCTGGATTAAGGCAGTTCTATTGAGATATAAAACAAAGATTTATATAA